CACCAACACTTATATTATGTTTTTGAATATAGCCAATCCAGTGGGTGTGAATGGTCTGGTGGTTTTGGTACACATTTCCTTAAAGATTAGTAACTTATAATATTGTGATTTTACTCATATTTTTTATTTAGTTTTAAAGGTCTTCTACATATTCTGCATGAGTCACTTACCAGATCTATGATTTATAAATATTTTCTCCCAGTCTCTGGGTTGTCTTTTCACTTTCTTGAGGGTGGCTTTAAAGTGTAAAATACTTTTGATTTAGTGTAATTTTTCTATTTTTTCCCTTTTTTAAAAAAAGATTTTATTTATTTATGAGAAACATACAGAAAGAGGCGGAGACATAGGCAGAAGAAGAAGCAGCCTCCTTCTTGGGGAGTCTAATGCAGAACTGGACCCCTGGATTCAGGGATCAGGACCCGAGCCAAAGGCAGATGCTCAACCACTGAGCCACCCAGGTGCCCCTATTTTTTTCTCTTATTCCTCAGGCTGTTGGTATTGTACCTAAGAGTGTAATCCAAACTCAAAAGATTTATACCTATGCTTTCTTCTAAGAGTTTCATAGTTTTGTATTCCACTTAGGTCAGTAATGCACTGAAAGTAAGTATTTGTGTATGGTGTATGTATGCAGGGGTTTATTTATTTTTATTTTTATTTTTTTAATTGGAGTTCAATTTGCCAACATATAGCATAACACCCAGTGCTCATCCCATCAAGTGCCTCCCTCAGTGCCCATCACCAGTCACCCCACCCCCCGCCCACCTCCCTTTCCACCACCCCTTGTTCGTTCCCCAGAGTTAGGAGTCTCTCATGTTCTGTCTCCCTCTCTGATATTTCCCACTAAGTTTTTCTCCTTTCCCCTTTATTCCCTTTCACTATTTTTTATATTCACCAAATGAATGAGACCATATAATGTTTGTCCTTCTCTGACTGACTTATTTCACTCAGCATAATACCCTCCAGTTCCATCCATGTCGAGGCAAATGGTGGGTATTTGTCATTTCTAATGGCTGAGTAATATTCCATTGTATACATAGACCACAGCTTCTTTATCCATTCATCTTTCGATGGACACCGAGGCTCCTTCCACAGTTTGGCTATTGTGGACATTGCTGCTAGAAACATCGGGGTGCAGGTGTCCCGGCGTTTCACTGGATCTGTATATTTGGGGTAAATCCCCAGCAGTGCAATTGCTGGGTCGTAGGGCAGATCTATTTTTCACTCTTTGAGGAACCTCCACACAGTTTTCCAGAGTGGCTGTACCAGTTCACATTCCCACCAACAGTGCAGGAGGGTTCCCCTTTCTCCACATCCTCTCCAACATTTGTTGTTTCCTGCCTGGTTAATTTTCCCCATTCTCACTGGTGTGCGGTGGTATCTCATTGTGGTTTTGATTTGTATTTCCCTGATGGCCAATGATGCGGAACATTTTCTCATGTGCTTGTTGGCCATGTCTATGTCTTCCTCTGTGAGATTTCTGTTCATGTTTTTTGCCCATTTCATGATTGGATTGTTGGTTTCTTTGCTGTTGAGTTTAATATGTTCTTTATAGATCTTGGATACTAGTCCTTTATGTGATACATCATTTGTAAGTATCTTCTCCCATTCTGTAGGTTGTTTTTTAGTTTTGTTGACTGTTTTTGTTGTTGTTGTTGTGCAAAAGCTTCTTATCTTGATGAAGTCCCAATAGTTCATTTTCACCTTTGTTTCTCTTGCCTTCGTGGATGTATCTTGCAAGAAGTTACTGTGGCCGAGTTCAATATACTTTTAATGCATGTGTTGAGAGCGCAATTGTCTGGCAGTTTAATGAAGACTATTGTTTTTCCCCTAAATATTATTTACTGGGAGTCAACTGACCATAAATGGATCACCTGACCTTTATGATTCAGATGTTCAATTTCAATGTGTTCATTAGTAAGCTACAATCTTTCAAGAGGACATATCTCATAGACATGTCATAACCTAAATTGTACAACTTCCAAAAGAGAATATCTCCAACTGAAAGTTGCTTTCTTTTGTATGCCAGATAAATAGGGGAAAAAAGCATCCTTTTTGTGCTTGTTTGAAATTTTTTTCTAGGTACTGGGTAACAACCATTTCCCCAGTTCTTTAATGGACAAGAATGTGGAGGGACTGTTACAAGATCCCATCTTTTCTTGTCAAAATTAATACATTTTTGTTTATATTTTAATAGCTTTATTGAGATATAATTCATATACAATAAAAGCCACCCATTTAAATTGTACAATTGAATAATTTTTAGTATATTTACAGAGTTGTGAAACCATCTCTATAACTTAATGGAGAACATTTTCATTAGTAGCCACTACTCATTTCACCCTCCCTGAGCCCCTGACAACACTAATCAATAATTCTTCAATTTCTAAGACTTGTCCTTTATCTCTGTTGTTGCAAATAATTTTTTGTTCAGAAAGTCCTATTCATGTAGAAGTATGAAAATTATCATATACCTTCTCAACACATAGTGCTTAAGGATAAATTCAAATACACATTCCAAAACTTTCTAAATAAGTAACCTTGAGCAACTTACTTATTTTCTGTGTGCATTAGTTTCCACACCTCCATGCTATAGATGATGATTAAAAAAAAAAAAAAACTAAATGAGATAAATAGCTGTGAAGTTCTTAGAGCAGATAAAGCTCTCAGCAAGTACTAGTTTTACTAATAAGGAGCTCATTTTGGTCCCCATTTGGATAAGAGGAAATTGAGGCTTAATTTCAATCAGAATTTAAATTTTGGTATTCAAACTCTTTTGTTATGTCTAAGTTGTTCTCCCAAAATGATTGAGTTATCTGAAATTTCAAGTAAAAGTATATCTTGGACAATGGTCCAAATAGATTTTCCAGTAAGAAACAATATATTAAATAAAATTGTTCAAGAACTCTTTATTACCCTTAAGATAAGGTCCAGGTTTCAAGGATTTCCATAATCTTGTAGAACCTGCCTTCCTTACAATATAGTGTAATATAATAATATAGATCTAGCTCTTCCAGTCTACTTTCATTTCTGACCATATATCATCTTCACATAAATTTCACATTTTTCTGATTAATTTCTATCCATACCTGATGCCTCAGCTGAAGCGGAGAAGCATTCCTAACATGTTATGTCACTTGGGTTTCTACTGTTTCAATATACATCACTCTTGCATTAATTATTTTTTCAGATTTATTGAGGAATAAATGAATTTATTGAGGAATAAATATACATACATAGAAAATAATAATATATTTAAAGTGTACATTGTAGTGATTTGATGAATTTATTATTTTTTGTTGATTCTTTTCTCTTTTAGACTATAAATATTTGAAGGATGGGGTCAATTGTGTTTGTTTTATTTTATTTTTTTACCATTGTATCCTAAATAGCACTAACCAGGATTCAAAGTGCATTCTCAATATGATTTTTCTTTAAAAAGGAATGAGTAAATGATCTGAATGAATATACTGGTACTGTTATATATTTTTTCCATGCCTTTTTTGTATTTTTAGAAAGATGGTGAACTTCATCTTTGTGAATTCATATCCAGAGATGCTTATGGAGCTCCAAAGCATTAATTTAGCATGAGATTGTCCAGAATCATCTGAATTCTGACCATCTGGAATTATTTTTAAATTTATATGAACTTGAACCATATGCATATTTTTAATTATATGGGAAAATTATTCGCTATCTGCCCCAACCAATTGGGGTATTTTGTTTTCTAGATAGAGTCAACTGTAAATGATTTCACCATGCTCCTGCCAAGCAAATATTAAATACTACCATAATGCAGAAGAGAATTTAATTCAATAAAATCCTTATTCCATGGGTCTATAAAGATTTGTAATCCCATTACAAAATGATCTTGAAATGTTGTCTAAACTACTTGTTTCACATAGGATCTTTAAAATAATCCAGAAATATTGGATTATGTCTATTTCATTTTTCTCCAACTAGATGTGAACCAACTTGAGAATAAAGACATTTTCTGTTTCGTCTCCATGCTCCTGTGTTTTAGAATCCAATTATCAATGTTTCATTGAAAAGACCTCACTTCACTGGTCAAATCCTGCACCTACGCTAGGATTGCTGCAAGTAATGCAACAATCTTGGAGATTTAAATCTTGGAGATTTAAACTATATTCCATCAATATAACAATCTCTATAAGATTAATCTTGCCTCATCCTGAAAGCTGCACCTGCTTCTTCAACAGATTTTAAGGTTATCATTGTATTAGTTTTCTAATACAGCTGTAACAAATGATTGCAAATCTAGTGGTTTAGGAAACATAAAAGTATTAGCTTACCATTGTGGAAGCTAGAAGTCCAAAATGGGTCATATGATTCTGTTCTTCTAGAGAAAATATGGGGAAATCTGTTTTCTAGAGGTTTTATTCGTTCCTTGGCTGTAGCCTTAAAATGACCTTTACTTCTTTCTGTTGTCTCTTATGTGACCTGAGTGTGACCCTTAGACCTCCCTCCCTGAACCTATGATTACATTAGTTCTACCTGGATAATGCAGAAAATTCTCACTGTCTCAAGGTCCTCAGTTTAATCACATCTGCACCCTTTTACCATGTAAGCTAATATATTCATAGGTTCTGGAGTTTAAGACATAAACACCTTCAGCCTACCATGATCTCCATTTTGAAATTTAACTCCTTTGGTTTGGAATCCATAGGAACTTTTATGTTTTTTTTTCTTTTTTAGTTTAAGGAGAATATTATAAGGACTTTATTTTTGTCAAGAGAAAATATACATCATGAAATTTACATGTGTGTGACACTTGGGTGGCTTAGTGGTGGAGCGTCTGCCTTTGGCTCAGGGCGTGATCTTGAGGTCCTGGGATCCAGTCCCATGTTGGGCATATTCACTTTGGAAGAAAAACTAGTACAAACAATGGGTTTGTGTTTTTCTTTTTCAATTGTATGTTCATAAAGAGTTACTTGTTTTGTTTCTTCTTTACTGACTTATAAAGTTAGTGAGGGTAGCAAAAGATGAATCTGAAAGGTGAGAACTTCCCAGATAACAAAGGGTTTTAAATTTATGAAAATTAATTGACATATAACAAACACATGTATGTTAGCCATAATTTATTGTGTTTGTTATATGCCATATATCATAAATTTTCATAAATATACATATCACAAGTCTAAGTATTGTTTTCATAGATGAAAGGAATACTGTAACAAAATTTAAGTCATTTGGTCAATGTCACACAACTGGAAGCAGACCCTGGGTATAAACCACAGTTTGATAAGAAAAAAATAATGATTTTTATTTTGTCCCCTGGGTATAAACCACTGTTTGATAAAAAAAATTAATGATTTTTATTTTGTCCCCTTATCTCCTTCAGAGGAGATCCTTCACAGGATGAATCATAGTCTTAGAATTCTGTATTTACATTCATTATTTTATTATAAGACTACCTTTCCTCTTCCACTACAATGTCCTCACCATACACAGAATCTAAAGGGAAGTCTGTGTAACGCATCTGTTCTTAGTCTATGTTAGTCACAAAGGGAATTAGGAAAAAGCAATAACCAATGTATTTATAATTTTCATGCAATAAAAAGTCTAAAACGTCTTTCCTTTAGACATTCTTTCCCTCAACAATGAAGATAAAAATCCTTGCCTGTAGACTTCTATCGCACTCCATGAGCGGATAGTTCTTATTGGGTTTTCTGTGTGTAAAGCATCCAGCTTCATGCTTCTTATGTATGCTTTCCCCAATAAAAACAGTAATAATAATCAGAATAAAGGGAGAAGTGGATAAATTGTGTGACTTGTAAACAATATGATTTTGTCACTTGTCCATTCCTCAGGAGAATTGCATCATAGTCCTTGCTCACATACTGTTACTATTTTTTGTTCTATATTTGTTTATGAGAATGTGTTCTTCAATCATTATAAAGCGCAAGGAGGTGAATACATGTAGGAAGGTTGTGAGTATGTGTTCTCATTGCTGTCTGAGAGATCTAGAAAGAAATATCAAGAGGGTGTAAAGGCAATGCAGGGAATTGAAACTGTAATTGTATGGAAAGTGTTACTAGCACTAAGCAAGTGTCAGCTCAGAGCAGACATTCTGAAAAGGAAATGGATACATCATTTAAGATTTGCAGTAGGACCTCAGGAGTGAAAAAAATAGTATTAATTTCTTCTTGATCTATTGGATATTTCCCCTTTCTTTCCCTCTGCCCAGCAATAGTGAAATCCTCCTTCAAATCTGCCACTGAGACAGGTATGTATTCTTACTCAGGTCAACATAGGAAAGTAAAGTTGTAATGTACTGGAACATGTAATAACACTTCCATAGTAGGAAAAAAATGGACTTGAGGCAGGGAAACTGAGTTATGTGATATTATCCAAGGGAAACTTGTACAGGAAAAGGTAAATGAAGGAGAAATACAATAGGAGAGAGATGTGTTAGGGATGTGGAAAATAACCACACTTTCATTAAAGGTGTAATTCCAAATAATTTGAATTTACTCTATTATTTTAATACATTTATGTATAACCTTGTCCAGGAAAACCTTATTTTTTATAATTTCTCCAATACTGGGTTTAGTAAGAATTGTGAGTGAGTCTACCCCATTCTCTTGAAGCAAAGAATAATTAGACTATATGTTATGAGTAACAACATATTAATAGCAAAAATATGAAAACTGGTCATTTTTATTAAAATTTTATATATTACTAAATTGAATCCCACTGAACAAATATAATTACCTATTCAATATTCAGTGCATTTGAAACATTTTATTCCTCATTTTCATGCTATGTCAGAAAGTATGAAAGAGAACAAAAGAGGGAGAGAGGGAGAAGCAGACTCCCCACTGAGTAGGGAGACGAACTTGGGGCTTGGTTTTAGGACCATGGAATCACAAACTGAGCCAAAAGCAGATATTTAACTGACTGAGCTGCCCAGGTTCCCCAAGCAGATTTTAATAATAGAAAATTTCTGAGAAATAAATACAAAGCAACTTTTGTTTTGGGGGCATTATCTATCAAGTAAAAATTTTCACACGACAAAATGTGTGGTTCTGAACTCTTATAAGAAATTCACATTCGTGTATCATGTTTATTTTTTCCCTCCAAAATATCTACTTGTATACACATTTCTGGAGAAAAATTACCTGGCATCCACTTCTGAAATAAAGGTAGGGTCTACATACTGTGTCACACCACTTCTGTATGCTAGTTGTGTGTATTTTTAACATTTTAATAAGACATTATCCAGTATTGTCTCCTTGACATTAAGGAACCTAACTTATTAGTTCATATTTAACCCAGTGCTTACTATAGCACCTGGAAGAGTGAATATTCCTTTCATTGCTTTCTGTTTGACCACTTGACTAAATGCTTCTTGGGTAAGGACACGAGAATATGTAGGTAACATATCTTAAAATTCCCATAACTTATTAACAATACAAAACAAGCTTACATTCAATGGGACAGTTTTAAATTGACAATACACAACCATAAGCTCATCATTAATAGAAAATTGATTTCTCTCACTAGTGAGTATACAGTTGCCTATTAACATGTAAGTTTGTATGTCCACCTGTCCGTGTGTGTGTGTGTGTGTGTGAGAGAGAGAGAGAGAGAGAGAGAGAGAGAAAGAAAGAGACAGAGATATAGAGTCAGAGACAGAAATGGAGAGAAACAGGAAGAGAAGGTGTTAAAAACACAGAAGGGAGGGGGCGCCTGGGTGACTCAGTGGCTGAGCATCTGCCTTTGGTTCAGGGTATGATCCTGGGATCCTGGGATTTCCTGCATTGGGCTCCCTGCAGGAAACCTGTTTCTCCCTCTGCCTATGTCTCTGTCTCTCTCTCTGTGTCTCTCATGAATAAACAAATAAAATAAAAAAAAAGACAGAAGGGAGAACTAAAATCTGAAATAAATCATACAGGAAGCTTATCTGCAGTCCTGGACCCACTTAATTACCCCATCAAAATTAAGCATATTTGACAAAATGCCATTGAAACCACATTCAGCCTCTGATTATATGAATCTAGGTTGAGAAGAGAAAACAGAAGACAGACACTCAACACACACTGCCACACTGAACCAGAAGCTCTGAACCAGGGGTCTCTGAGCCAACGTGTTCAAGCTCAATGGCACGATCTTCATGCCCCCGGTGCTGACACTGATTGGGATCCCCGGCTTGGAGTCTGTGCAGTTCTGGATCGGAATTCCTTTCTGTGCCATGTACATCATTGCTCTGTTTGGGAATTCCCTGCTCCTGGTCATCATCAAATCAGAACACAGCCTCCATGAGCCCATGTATCTCTTCCTGGCAATGCTTGGAGCAACAGACATTGCTCTCAGCACCTGCATCCTACCAAAAATGCTAGGCATCTTCTGGTTTCATCTGCCTGACATATACTTTGATGCCTGTCTCTTTCAGATGTGGCTAATCCACACCTTCCAATGCACTGAATCAGGAATTCTGCTGGCCATGGCCCTGGACCGCTATGTGGCCATCTGTGATCCCCTGAGACACGCAACCATCTTTACACACAAACTTCTCACTCAAATTGGAATGGGAGTGATGCTCAGAGCAGCCCTCCTTGTAGCTCCATGTCTCATCCTCATCAAATGTCGGCTGAAACACTTCCGGACCACTGTGGTCTCCCATTCATATTGTGAGCACATGGCCATTGTGAAGTTGGCAGCAGAAGACATTCGAGTCAACAAGATCTGTGGTCTCTTTGTAGCCTTCTCTATACTTGGATTTTACATAATCTTCATCACAGTCTCCTACATCCGAATATTTATAACTGTCTTCAATCTGCCTCAGAGGGAAGCTAGGCTCAAAGCCCTAAACACCTGCATTGCCCATATTTGTGTCTTCCTTGAGTTTTATCTCCTTGGTTTCTTCTCCTTCTTTACACACAGGTTTGGGTTCCATATTCCACCCTACATTCATATTCTTCTGTCCAACCTTTACCTGCTTGTCCCTCCTTTGCTCAATCCTATAGTATATGGGGTGAAGACCAAACAGATTCGGGATCGAGTGTCCAAGATTTTACACTCTACAGATCCATTTTGACTTCTCATTTAAGTTTCTTCAAATAACAAAAATTCAATTTGAGAAATAGTAGTTTGGGATCAAATTTCGTGCTTTCTGAAGTTCAATTGTGCTGTTGAAAGATACAGTTCTAGGTTTTATATTGGAGACAGGCTCTGATTTCGATTTTATTTTTTTTAAATTTTATTTATTTATTAATGAGAGACAAACAAAGAGCGAGGCAGAGTCATAGGCAGAGGGAGAAGCAGGGTCCCTGCAAGGAGCCTGATGTGGGACTCAATCCCAGGACCCCAGGATCACTTCCTGAATCAAAGGCAGACATTCAAATGCTGAGCCACCCAGGCATCTGTAGACTCCGATTTTCATTTAAACAATTTCAACATTTTATATTTTATGCATACAGAATTGTTTGGAACACACATTTAGTCAATAGGAGACATGAAACGAAGAAATTATGAAGATTTTTTTGTAGTTACATTAGCTTTTAGTAAAGGGCATTTCTTCTCTCTTTTTTTTAATATTTTTTGTTTATTTTAGGCAAGGTGCAAGAAAAAGAGTGTGCACCTGCAAGCACAAGTGGGCAGGGGTGGAATCTCCAGCAGACTCCCTAATGAGCATAGAGCTTGCCTAGGGCTTAATCTCAGGACACTGAGATCAAGACCTGAGCAGAAACCACGAGTCTGATCCTCAACCAACTGTGCCACTCTGGTGCCCCAGTAAAGGGCAATTCTTAAAAGCACAACTAAATTGTTACTATTTTAGTCTCTGTTTAAAAAACCAAGTGACATTGAGGCCATTGCCTAAGAAATGTCAGTGTAATGTATTATAACTTATCATATATTGAATAAAATCATCTATGTTAATGTTAATGATCACACTCAGTATCCTCTTTATCATTAAGACCCTGAAGTTTTTACTGTATGATCATCAGTTGAATATGAAGTATATTTATAATTTATGCATTTTAATATATTAAAATTACTTTTTTCCTCAAAATATTCACATAGCATAATGAAAAGTTATATAATAAAGTTATTATCATATAATTGAAGTAGAAATGGAAATTCAGATAAAAGACAATGGATGAAGTAAATATGAAATAAGCACTTAAAAACCATGTGTTGTGTTAAGATATATGAGTAAAACAATTTTTAATAAAAGCATACTGTTAACTATCAAAACAAACTGATGGTTAACAGGAGAGAAGTATGGGGAGGAGTGGGTGAAATAGGTGACGGAGATGGAGGAGGGCACTTGTGATGAGCACTTGGTGTTGTATGGAAGTGTTGAATCATTAAATTCTACACCCGAAACTAATATTACATTGTATGTTAACTGACTAGAATTTAAATAATTTTTTAAAAAGTGAGTTCCATTACTATAACTCAAGAAGAAAGTTACTTCTATAAGAGAGTATATCTCTCTAATTGTATAAATATCTAATTGTTGGTATTTTATCTTGAAGCACTCTTCTTTTTATTTTAGTACATTATTCTTTTATGGTAATGTTTCCACTTTTTATTTTTCTCTCATTGTGATGTTTCCTCTACTGAGAATGCTTTTGATTTTTTTCATGGTCAAATCATTTTTATCCTTCAAGATTAAACTTAGACTTTTCTCTTTTTTAAGATTTTATTTATTTATTCATGAGAGACACAGAGATAGAGGCAGAGACAGAGGCAGAGGGACGAGCAGGCACCTTATTGGTAGTCTGATGTGGAACTTGAACTCAGGACCTAGGATTATGACCTAAGCCAAAGGCAGATGCTCAACCACTGAGCCACCCAGTTGCCCCTAAATGTAAACTTTTCTTGACAACTTTTTAAAAGGACTTAACTGGTTTTCTCTTGGATTCAAAGTAGTCTGTACAGTTTTCAAATTGTCTTATATTGATATGTATCTTTAGAATTAGGGCCTGATAGCAGATGTTTAGTAATTTAATACTTTATCACTCAGTATCTCCTAACGTTTTAGCAGACATGTGATAATAAGTACTCTATGACTTGAACTTCCCTTTTACTTGTCTCAGTGACTTGGTGTGGTACTCTATGAGACAATAAATTTTTATTAAAGGGTGATCTGAGTGTAGGAATAAGTGCAAAACAAACCCCCTCAACTTATGGAAATATTTAAGAATGGACATAGAACTTCTTGGTATAAATATCCAGTTAGCAACTATATATAGGGATCCAGAAAAAGGACCTTGGCTAATATTTCCTGTATGTAATAGAGTGCTGCTACAAGCATATTTAGGATATGATTTTGTTGAAGAAATGCAATGAAAAAAATTTAAAACAAAACAAAACAAAAACAAAAAAAGAAATGCAATGATAAAGATAAGTTCATTAATCCTTATACCAACCCTATAAAGTCTTTAATGCATGTCAAAGATGTGGAACCTGAAAACATAGATGAATGGGAAGCCAGTTCCTCACCTTGGGGAGTAAATTACAAATATCAAAATGGAGAAAAGTAGAATGAACCCTGTCATTGAAGGTTAGAGTAAATCTATCAGTGAACAGTTCAGGTTTTCATGATATGTTTGTTAGTGTACCCGCCAAGACCAGATTCTTCAGTGCCAATGTCCTAGAAATGAATTCTGAGAGGAAGGGGAAAAAAAGCAGGTGTAATTGGCTAGAGATAGTTTATATACAAGGGAGCCAGCAAGAAAGAAGAATGTTACTTTTTAAGAGGTAGCATGCACAGCTTATAAGGGCACTTTTCCAAGATTTGAATGTCTAGTAGTGGGGAAGTATCCATCCAACCCATGATCATTAGCATGTGGATGTAATGGTCATAACAATCATAAGATGCCCTTCTTCATAGCTGACACTTTTTAGGGTGCCTGAAAAACAGAAGTACTTGTGCAGGAAGGCTTGGAATTGTTATTTCTGTGATCAAGTCCCACATAGGGATCCTTGCGAGAAGCCTGCTTCTCCCTCTGCTGTGTCTCTGCCTCTCTATGTCTCTCATGGTTAAATAAATAATTTTTGTTTAAATTCAGATTTGTGGAAATCCTCCAATACAACATAATAGTAGCGTGGTTTTGAGTTTGCAGTTGAAATTTCCTCAAATATATTCCCTAAATGGAGTGGGAAAATCATATTTAAACACCGGGAGTACACTTAATCTCCTTCAGGTCTTTAATATTTTATAGCATTATAAGAAAAGAGAGAAAATGTGAACAGTGTATTTTCCTATATATAAAGAGAGATCATATTTGAAAATATGAACATACTTCAATAAAAAGTGATACTAGCCATATGTGAAAAAAATGGATGCAATTTTTAGTACTAATACAGGAAGATCCCTAAGTTTAACATGTATGTTTTTAAATAATTCACTATATTCATTAAAACTTTATAAAAATTACAAATTGATGACTTGATAGTTGATATATGCAGAAAGGCAGAATGTCAAAGGATGACATTTGAAAGACAAGAAATGGCCACAAAATTAAAGCTTTTGAATTCAACACACATATTTGCTGCCATTGTTTGATCCTATATTGCCTACATCTTCCTAAAGTATTCCTCCTAGTTTTAACAAATTTAAGAATTATTTCCATAAAGGAGAGAAATGTTATTATAGAACTCATTAATGTATTTTGGTGTCACACAAAAACAGAAGAGACTTCTTACACACTACTCTTGACTGACCAAAAACCTATAATGTCATTTTATTTTATCATATTTTCTCCTTTAGAAATCAAATACTGTTAAATTAATAATTCTAGTATAGAGTGTTCTTGTGTGCTTTTACTTAAATCTAAAGCTGTTTATTTCAACCAGTCCTGTCTTTAACAATGAAGATAAAGAACTTTACCCAAATAAATAAATAAATAAGTAAATAAGTAAGTAAGTAAATAAATAAACTTTACCCTGAAGATTTCTGTTACACTTGGTGATGGAAAGCTCTTACTCAGGATCAGTGTGTGTGTGGTGAGTGTGAGTGTGGTGTGTGTGTGTGTGTGTGAGGCATCCATGAGCAACTCAGATGGTTGTGGATAGTTATGTGAAGGCAAATGAAGCGTTTCACACTCAAGAAATCCACATCCTTCACTTCACAGATAGGGAAGTAAACCCCAAAGAGTCCTAAATAATGTCCATGAATAATGGGAAGTATATTTATGCAAGAGTTTTCTAGAATTGGCTCTGAATGCACACTCTAGATTAGTGCCCCTCAACCAACGAGAAAGCCAGAGACATAATTAAAAATTACTTATATGCTCTACAGGATTGTTTGTATCGAGAAGGAATTATGGTAGAATCGGCATTCCCAATTTCATGATGTGATTGATTTTGTAATGACAGTAATAACAACAATAAGTATAACACATTTATGGGGAAGTTTTCCTTCCTTCAGAATAGTCAGAAGGTGCCTTCCCCAGGTCACCAATGCTTTTGCTATGTAAAACAACAAAGGGCTATCTTAACCGCCCATTAATATTTCCAGACATTATAGGTAAAATACTTTTAGACACATGTATTGAGGCAGTAAAAGGATTATGAATCAGTGTATTCATTTTGCCTCTGTGATCCAGCTTATTATGAAAGACTAGGTAGTTGATTCTGTATTTGGTGAGTTGGCTAGCATCAATTGGTTAAAACTGACACCGAGGTAGTTTCCAGAAAACATTAATTGCAGTGAAAAAAAAAAAAAAAAACAACCCTTAAGTATTTATCTTGGAGTTCTAAAAGTATCTTAAAAGTGTTTAGCTAGGACACCCCTCAGTTCCCACTTCTCCCTTTCAGCTTCATGAAGTTAAATTATGAGTCCCTGAGTATACTTGAAACGGAGTCCTGGAATCGATGCTTACTTCTTCTTCCCAATATTCACGCATTCAATTTTAGAAGCCATTGAAAGATGAAAAGATATTCTATTGTATAAGAAAGAATCTCTTGACATGTTTCTTGGTTTTCTTAACTACATTCCTCAAGAGGATTGCAACATGTTATTGCCCACCCCTGATATTATGTGTGTCCTGTATTAGTCTCTTGGGGAACAATTTTTTTTATATA